CGTTATAATTCATTTTAAATATTTTGTACCAGCGAATTTTTGTCGTTATAGTCTTTTTTAAAACTTTAGCTGGTTCACCGAAGCGTGTAGCCACGTGAGCACATCATTAGCATGCTATTTTACTCACCAGCTCATTTGCATGCTAAACATTGCTTATGTGATATCGCTCTATTTACTGGATCAGAGATGAGTATTTATTGGTAAACATGTCAATCAGATGTAAAGTTTTCTATTTATTGTTTCAAAAGTGGCGTCAATAATATAAACGACTTGAGATGTGAGCATTTTGATGCGAATCTCTTGGATCTTGTTTGGTATTGCTTACTTGGGGACACTTTTAGACGTGGCTTGCTTTGTAACGACTTCCTCTGCCTCGGGACTGAAGAGAAATATGTCACAACGATAGTTAGAATGTCTTATTTTGGTTTGGGTGGGGGAGGGGAGGGGTGGTGATAGATTTAATAGCAAAAGAGATCCCTAAAATACACGGACGCAAACAAGATGGACAAAAACGTTTGCTCTTTATCTAACATCGCTAGTAAAAACTAATCTTAAACTCAGTTTAAATGAGTGCATTTTTTATGGATTTTGATTGACTTAGAATGAAGTGTTATTAAACATACCGAGGTTGAGGAAAAAACTCGCATAGATGTGCATTGAGGGAATGTTTTAGGAAACATAGATCCAAGATGGCGTCTACCTCGTCCCCTAAGGCAATCCCACAATGCACTGCAATACCTATTCGACCCAGTCTTTTCCTCAACCTCAAAATGAATAACAATATGACTATAAGGTATCGCACGTTTCCCACTCGTCTACTTTTAGTCATTTAAAGTCATCCTCTTAGCACTAGCGTAGGGACGGGGCGGGCAAAAAAAGAAAAGGTTTGCTTTGGGTACCAAAATTTTCATGCGGTATTACTGTGTATTCAGCGGAGAAAATGGTAAATTGCCTCCACCCCCCATCCTAAAATCGAGTGCTACGACCTTGCCTCTGAGGTATAAATGTGATACACATTTTAAATTTCCATCCATCCATATAATATTTTTATCAACTCTACCTGTTCGCTAAGTTCTGAATCCATGTTATGGCATGATTGGCTAAATTAATCATCATATTCATAGCTATGACAGCGTATTCTTTAACCACTGCAACTACTTTGGGGATTTTCTCGGCTATTGACTGCCACAGGTTGTCTAAGGAGACGGCTACCGACGAGAAGAAATCTGGTGCGAGGTCGTAAATCCTATTTCCTAATGATGAAGCCATTTCGCAGACTTTATTGACGAATGGAGGAACGTATTTGAGAAATAGATCTTGTAAGATGACTAGATAATGGTGGACTATAGGCCAATATATGTTCCAGTAATGGATGAAGAATCCGCGGATTTTGGCCCAATATTTCGGCACTTCTTCCTCAAACTAGGAAAATAAATATAAAATAAATAAAATAAGCACGGCTTTAGGCTTTCCACGCGTAAATACTCAATGACAATTGTTTATATTTCTGGCAAGACTAACCAAAACCACCCAAGAGGGCGCTACATAAAGATGTACTACTTCAGAATTAGGCCTTCTAAAAAATCGATGCACGAAAACAAACAACTGAAGAAATAGAAACGCGTGCTGTGTGCAGCTATAAAGCACGCGGTGATAAGCAGAACACGAGAAGCGGGACGAGAAGGTTAGGAGAAACACTTCTCATGTGTTCTGCTTATCCCCAAGTGCTTTATAACAACTGCAGACAGCACAGAAACCAAGTTTTTTAAAATTATATTTAAAAAAAATACGAATTAAAGTAGCTGTGATTTTGGATGCGAAAGTTGATATAGAAAGAGCGTGCTTTGCGCTCTTATAAAGGACGTGCTCTCAACCAATCAGAACGCGAGATTTATATCAAAGTACATAACGCAATGTTTTTACTTTGCCACGTTGCGCTCAATGTTGCGCAGGTCAGTGGACTTGGTCAGTGGATCGTTTACACGCGCAAGAAACACTGCGTCGTGTGTTGGCATCTTATCTTGTATGAACCTACCTTTTCTAATATCTCGGGGATTTTCTTATTGAGATATTTCCTTGCTGGTTTAGTTTGTTCTGCTACGTAATTGCCAGCGATTACTAGCTTGTCCTTGGCATACTCGGCTGCTGGGTCCATATACTCTCGAAACTGACTGTAGTATGCTGGGTAGTTCTTCTGAACCCAACTAAACGCGAAAAAAAAAAAAAAAAACAACAATTTTTTCATTCAAAGTCGGGTAAGCGAGTAAGTGTGCTAATAAGTTGAATGCAAAACAATATGCCCGCGGTTCGATTCTTCACGATCCCTCAACTTATTTAAATATGTTTAATCGTGTGCATTCAGTTTTGAAATTTCTGGCTGTGGTTAACTGACAGACAGAAATGTTCTGAGATGGCGAACATGGTCTATTGTCGTCTAGCTTCGGTACCAACATCTGATGCCTTATATGGTGTGGTCTGTACCGAAGCTAGACCAGAATGCACCCTGTTTATTGAACTCAGAAAAGGTCTATGACATACAGATACGTTTCTAGTGCGAGGACAATAAATTACAGAGTGCTTCTCAGATAGGAGAAATAAAAAACATAACGAACCTGTTTCCTTTATTGAAGCCATTTTTAACATTTCCATAAACTCGTAAAGCTCCGTCTTCGATTTTGTACTGTTTAGCAAAGTAGGCCGTTTTGCTTCCTGAAAAATATCAATGCAATCATCACTGAGAAAAGAATATAATGGCGCTTCCCCTTAACCGAACTTACCATGATTAGGCATACGACGAGTTTTGATTGTCGATCAAATAAAGGTGCCCCATACCCACATGGAATGTTGGGAATCGAAAACATTTTTGTCAAGTGTCGCATGGATGTTGCATACGAGTCGTGCGCATCAAAATCTTTGTGTCGAGCCGGTGACGACAACGAGGTTTGTTATCTCCAACATCAAAAATGACCCACATCCTCATGGAATCGTGTGCATCAAAATCTTTGTGTCGGGTTTCGCAGGTTGTCGCATATGAGTTTCGATTGCCCATCGAACGTCAAAGACGACCCTTACCTTCGTAACCCTTGTGCTTGTAGAGATCAAATGCTATCACTCCAAGCACAATCACTAGAATTAACTTTAAAAAACCCTTGATGGAACAGCACGATGACTTCTGCTTGAATTTCTGCTCTGCAGTCTGAAACGATAAGAGGCGCAAAGTGAAAGACTCCATGTTGCCTTCTACACAAGCGTCGCTCATCTCTTCTTTGGGCTTTCTGTGGCTATAAACATTTCCACAGGAAGCCCAGAGAAGAAAAGATAGATTGCTAGTAACCAAGGGATGGGTAGGGGTAGATTTGAGTTCAGTAAAGCGAGGCTAATGGGTCAATACAATGCGTAACTGATGACAAATTTAATAGCCGCTATGTTGTTGCCCCACACTCACCATCAATTCAAGTTCACGCTATAAAATCCATTAATATTTCATAATTCCATATACTAGATACTATTATTTAAAAATTTTTTGGCGATGAGAGAAACAATTTTTGTAGTAAATATCTTGGAGTTGCTAAAGCAAAGTCCTGAAGAGATATAATTAGCAATGCAGAATAAAAAAGTAAGAGCTGAACTTGCAAACAAAGTGTATTGACAGAATCTGCAGGTACGAGCATAGGTCCCATAATAGAAATGCAAATACCCCAAATGTAAACACCCAGAATTTTAGATCAACAGTACATGGTACAAAAACATCTTCAAAATTCGACAAAAATTGCTGAATAAAGGAATCCAATTTTTACATATAAAATGAATAAAAAGATCTCAGCAACTTTCGGAAATAATTTAAAAGGGACACAAAATGCACTAATTACTAAATTGTTCAAACTAATGCTAGTTAAACAAAAGAAAACGATAGAATTAGCATAAAATAGTGTAAGTAAGTATTACTAGTATTTCACGGATATATTTTTTGCACCCTATACTCGAGTCATGCCTAAATCAGTATTCGAATTTCGTCTGTTTTAACTGTTAGAATAAGATTGCTTTAGTTTACAGCCTTTATTTATAAATTGTTTTTAAAATGTAATAGAAATAAAAAAAGGGATTGTCATCAGTACCGGTTGTGAATGCGCTGGACCACAAGCCATGAAAAATAATTCGAAAAACCAGATCAATAAAAATAAAAATTGCTTCGCGAATTAGTTAAAAAACGTCTCTCCACAAAATACTTTATTGAGCATGCGGTTAGTGCTTAAAAATTATTGATCAAGTATCAAGAGAAAAAACTCTTAAAGATAAATGACTGAGTAGAGACTTTGAATTGGAAGGGTAAGAAAAGATCTTATCCTAAGTGTAAACAAACTAGGGATAGAGAAAGAGAGTATAGTTTAACACGACTAATATGTGTTATAATTCTTAAGTGATAATTGAATATGCAACGTACATAGATTTTTTCGATAGTTACAAAAATGTAAGTACTTGCGAGGGATAGAAAATGAACTCATTTTCTCTTGTTAGAAAGGTTTCTCTTATTAGAACATAAAGTGTACTGCTCACAACAAGGTAAATTATAGCGTTTCGAAAATACACTCAAGGTTTCAAAAATACATATCTTCGAAGGACGGACAAACCTTTTCGACGTTTTGTTCTTGTTCTTGTTCTTTTTCTTTTACTACCATTTTCTCGATTTCTTTAAACGACCTGTGAACTCTGTTAGGTCATTCGAACTGGATTGTGCGAAGATTATGTATAACGATGGGAAAAGCCGTTCAAAATATTATCATCTGAAACACTGCACAGCTGAACCAATCACAATTAACGACTGTTAAATCGATCCATTATGCTAATGAGGATTAAAAGTTAAAGCGGAATATTAAAGTGCTACTACGACGAAAATCGCTCAAACTTGGATTCAGCTGAAACTTCCTAA